TGTTCGCCTGTTTCTGAAAACAATTTTAGTTTTCGAGTTCTTCGTTCATCATAAATCGAAGGTTCATAAATCGAAACGATTTCTAGAACACACTCACACACTTACATCTTCTTCAATCAGAAATTGAAGGTCCAGATGATGAACTCGAGATCTTCCATGTATGAAGACAGAGGTAGAGGTGTGATGGGTATTTGAAGGTGCCATGGATGAAGAGCCAGAACTCGAACCTAGGTTTCGATTTTCAGGTTGTATTCGCCGGAAAATTCATAGTTTCGCCGGAAAATTCAAGTTGACCGGCTAAACCTTCAATACCCGGTAATAATGGTATATTTTGAACGAAATAACAAGTTTCATGGTTAACAGAGCACCAAAAAAAATTAAGTGACCAAATATATATAAATGATATAGTTGGTTACCCTCTCAAGTCATTATCCTTTTAAATAACTGGCACCAAAATATATCTTATTTCTAAATGCAAAATATATATATATATATATATATATATATATATATATATATATTGAAAGTTTGAGGGTGGGTCTGGGCCTACCCTGGTCCTAAGGTGGCTCCGCGCATGTACATAGTACTCCGTAATACTTATTAAACAAAAATTATGCCCCCATTTACTTGATTTCATGATGTGCCTTAGCCCAACTCGTCAATGTATTGGGCTGGGACTGTTGTGATGGCTTCAAAGAAAAAGGATATATTGGCATTTTGCATGGAGTTCAATTTGACTTTCTTATACAAGTGGAATGGTTTGTCGATAAAAGTAAATTGTAATGTGTTGGTAAAAAAAAATATATTCATGACAATGGTGGTCGATTGCTTTCTTGTGGAGATGAGATAAAATCAACTTGGTGTGGGCTAACTTGTTAGCTCTATTAATCGACTATATTTTAGTAAATTACACAAATGGTCCCTATGGTTTAGGGTAATTTGCGCGTTTGGTCCCTAACTTATTTTTCTAATTCGGAAGGTCTCTATTGTTTATTTTTGTTACGCGTTTGATCCATGTCTTACCTAAAAAAATTATTTTGCTCTTGATTTTTTAATTTATTTAAATAAACACACCCTAACCCCACCCCCTCACCTTACCTTACATACCTCATCATTTTTCCTATTTAAATAATGGTCTTTTTTGGTAAGACTGGGACCAAGCACGTACCAAAAAAATTAGTGGGGACCAAGCGCGTAACAAAAACAAAGAGTAGGGCCTTTCGAGTTAAAAAAATAAGTTAGGGGCCAAGCTCGCAAACTACCCCCAAACCATAGGGACCATTCGTATAATTTACTAAAAAATATAGTAAATTACACAAATGGTCCCTATGGTTTACGGTAATTTGCGCGTTTGGTCCCTAACTTATTTTTCATTCTCATCTTAGGAAGTGTGTTCGTAACGACACAACCACAATGTTTTGTAATGATATTTGGACTGGTGATTATCATTTAAATGATTGTTTTCCTGATATTGTACTTGTTGGAGAGATATAAATATCCTCGAACTGTGAAATTGTTTACATAGTTAACTCCATTTGAAACACCATAGCGTAACATTGTGTTTATAAAGGAAAATATAGATCATTACTAGGTATGATTTGATCTATGATAAGTCATGATATGCTTCCAAATTGTTTATAGGGCATCTGGGTACCTGTTTTCGGAACTGTAACAGCCTCGAAACTGCCGATTCTGGAACTAGAACCATCTTAAGCGGTTCCGATTCTGGTTTCCTAAAGTGATGGAACCGCCCTAAGCGGTTCCGTTTCTGGTTCTCGTTTTTTCGGAATCGCTACCAGCTGGGTACCCACCGGTACCGGTATATATATATATATATATATATATATATATATATATATATATATATATATATATATATATATATATAATGTATGATTATGTGTGTGTTATTTAGACCGGTTTAAAATATATTGGTCTATCTTTGGTCCGAATTGATTCAATTTGGACCCAACTAAATTGCGGTTTTATAGACAAAAGTTAATAAAATTCATGTAACTAGGTTACCTACTCTTGGAACCGGAACCGCCAGTTCCGGGACTGGTTTCAAAAATTTAAGAACTGCCTAGACCGGTTCCGGTTCTAACTTTCTAGGAATTGTCGGTTTCGGTTCTTGCCAAATGAGGTGCGTACCTGCCTATGCTTATCCCTATTGAAAATACATATATTTTACAATCAAATTTGGGTAAAATGCAGAACAAATCAACCATTTATCTAATCAACATTTAGAAAAACTCTTATATTTTATTTATACACAGAAAACTCTTATATTTTTATTTACCTTTCAGATTTATCAAAATATTCATTTGTTTAAGAAGTTATCGGATGTTTTGTGACATGACATTTATCTTTTTTTTCTTTTAGGTTGACATGGAAAAAAATAAATGATGTTACTTATTTTTGTTTGAGTAAATGGTCGTTGAGTAAATAATATATTTCTCACGTTTTACCTTAAACAATAGGCAACTTCACTTATTTTTGTTTTTATATTAAACTAAAAACAAAAAAAAATGTCATGTCACAATCAATCTGTAATTTCTAAAAAAAATAAATATTTGGGTTAGTGTGAAAGGTAACTGAAAAATGTAAGGTTGTATATAAACAAAATATAACGGTTTTCTGAGTATTAGTAGATAAATGGTTGTGTTATTCTGTATTTTACCCATCAAAATTCTAAATTTATCAAACATATATTCTTTTATAAATTATGTGAGTGTGTGCGTGATTATTTTATGTTTAATGATTTATAGGTCTATTGACTTTTAAATGTGTTATTTTTATGGAATTGTTCGACTATGTTCAACTAAAAGAGCTTATTGGACTAAAGACTTTATAGGTTTCTGTTGGATTAGGTTGACAAAGATCGCTGATTATCATAGAGTTAAAGTTGAAGGCTGAAAGGTGTCAACATGGAACTTGGAAGGATGACACTCACGTTTTAGCATTCCTTAAGCAACACGCTGATCTTTGTTGCCTATGGGTTGCCATGGGTCTGCCCCAAAGATATATAATGTTGAAGCAACTGCGAGATCTCATACATAACACAAATAATTCAACACACACACACACACATAAACACAAAACTCTCTCGATTCCCTCTCTTGTTTTTCATCTTCATAGTTTTAGGGTTTGTACTGTGCAAATTCGTTTAAAGTCTATTTAGCAATCATTAGGGTAGAGGGAGTCCTTCTCCTTTAACCCTTCCAACCCACTTGCAATCTGAGTGTCACATAAACTTTTCTTCCTCCTTCCACTCCCATCCGTTGCAGCCACAACACAAACAATTCATCTCTTCCAACCCACTCTTAATGTACAAGTACTAACGTGATACAAGTTGGTGGTGCACATGAGAGAAAGAGATGAGCCGTTACAAGGAGGCGGTGAACCCTCTCAACCATCATCTTGCCAACCCACAATGCAAGGATTCGTGATCTTGAAGGTACCTCCAATACTATGCCCATCTTAGGTCACGAGATAATGTGTATCAATTTCTGTTAGGTTTTGTTTGTTTTTTTAAAAAAATCTATTCAAACCACTTCTTGCTGCGCGACGCAGCACACACGCAACATTTGCCCTCTCGCAACAGTTTGTTTTTTAGAAGGCTTCAGATTACAAAACCTCTGCGCGTGTTCTGCGCGGCGCAACACTTGATTTACATCTTCAAAGCTCTTCACCTTTCATTTTCTCCAAGTGTTTTTTTAAACTTTGATTTTTTAAAACTTTTATTTATGGATTTGATACAATTTCTTTTTATAGTTTCCACAATTTTTTATAACTTGATTTTTTTTTTAAAAAAACTGTGATTTTTTTAAGTTTTTTTTTACTGTTTCTGTTAATAATATTTTCAGTTTCAGTTGCATTTTTTTAACGTGTGTAACTTTTTACGAACTTTGTAGACATCGTTTACAATACTTTCTTAATTTTTTTTTATTTCCTTTTTTTATGTTTTTTAAAATTAGTTTTTTTTTTTCTAAAATAAAATTGATAGCTTCTTTTAGATTTTTTAGAAGTTTTATATATATATTTTTTTTTACATGTTCATTTTAATATTCTTTCAATGTTTTAAGACTAGAATTATTCAAATTTCGGTGTTGAGAACTATTCCAGTTTATAAAATTAATTTATTTAAATGTCAGTTTAATGCAGCAGTCTGCAGATGTTAAAAAACAAACATATTTCTTATTATAGGCTGCAACCGTTTGTTCCACCTCTTCTGATACCTCTTCTGATACAGAGGATTGCAGAGGTGGTCCACAGACTTTATGAATTTTAGCTTCGAAAAAACAAACTGCACCTTGGTGTTTTGTTTGTTGTTGTGAACTGTAACTTGTTATTGGGGTTAAATTTGTTAGGTTTTATATTAAAACCATTTTGTCAATTTTTGAGTAAAAAGTGTCTTTCAAGTATATATTAGACCCTATACTTGTAATTTCAACCAATTTTATCTATTCCTGTATTCCCAGCCTCCGAAAGTGGGTTACGCCAGTCACGTGTGCTGCTGCACTATTATGTTTTTATTATTTCATGTTATAGTTACACCGATTAGCAAGATTTTATGTATACACTACTAAATTTTGAAGTTATAAATTACAACGATAGATAATATAAGTTTGTTTATAAAAAAGATATTCAATCCAGATAAATTTAGTTACCATTTGACGAAATTGATGGTTATTTATTTGAGAAATTAAATATTCTCCTACCATTTCTTCCTATTTATCTTCTTACTCATTTGAAATTGTAACACATTTGAAATTGTACCATGTTTATATTTTGATAAAATTAATTATATTTCAAAACACTTGTAATTGTTATCATTTAAAGTGAATAGGAAAATAATTACGTGGAAAAAAAAGGAGGATATTTAATTTCTCTATTTAATTATTTAATTTAGAGAAAAGTATTGCTAAATCAAAGCACAAAAGCACGGGTTTGGTCCCGCCTTTCACCCTTAGTTATTGCCTTTATTTACGAAAAACACTCTACTCCCTAAATACGACGTCGTCGGCAATGTCCAACAACGCGCCCACCGTATCCGCCCCAAATTTTCTCGCAAACAGAAACGGATCATTTCGTCGTATCACAGACGCATCAGAACCGTTCATCTCCTCGTCACCGTATCTCGGCCGTCGTCGCCGGAGTGTTCTGATAAACTCCGGACCCACATCCGAAGCCTGAAACGTATACGGGTGACCATGTTGGCCTCGCTTCCAGTCAACGTAGGTCAGCGTAGCTGGCACGCATCCTCTCCTATCCACCATGGACAAGAGCGTAGGGAAGTAGTTCTCCTCAGGGTAACACCTGCCTATGTTCTCCTGCAGACACGGCAGCTTAAATTTGGACCATAGACGCGTGTCACCAACAACCACCCTGGCGTGATGACGTGTCAATACAGAAAACTGTGACCCGATTCTGAATCTTTCATATGACACCTCCGGAAGCATCACTGTTTCCCCACGCGCTGCCCATCTTCCCCACGCGCCAACCTCGTTTTCCAGGATCTCTATGAAACTCTTCTTGGAGCTCATCAGTGTTTTATAGGTGAAATCGAATGAGTGGAGAGGTATGCAAGAGGGAGAGAGCAGGGCAAGCATGTAATTCGCCGGGTCGTGAAGTAGAGCTCGGGCGAGTAGCCGTCGATGAGCGGCGGCGAGTGTTGGAGTGTTGCGGCGGGTGGGTTTTGAGGGAATGGTGCGGTTGCTGAAAACTCCTTGAAAGAGTAGGTCATATCGGAGATTAGGATCGGCGTGTATGTATATATTGTATAAGTGTTTTGTTTTGGTGCGGTTGAAGTAGAGCTCCCAGAGTGGCGCTAATGGCAGCCGGTCGGTAGTGAGGAACATGAATGCAAGCTTCTTTGGTGCTCCGGCGGGTGATGGGTTTGGGTTGACACGAGAGGCCAGGTGGAAAAGCGAGTTATCATCCATCTCTTCTTCCATGAATCTGTTGTTGGGCTTTTGCAATTGGGGTGGTGGGGAAACGGTGGTGGTGAGGTCGGTGTTAATGGTGAAAACGATGGCAAGGGGATGAGTGAGAAGAAGGGCGCAGAGAAGAGTGAGAGGAGTTGGGGACATGGATGACACAGGTAATGAAGTTTAATGGGGAATGGAGTAGAGCCGAATGCAGAATACGTTTTGATTTTGATTGAAGCTCTTATTCAATGAGTTTTCGAATTCCCATGATATGCTCCCTCCCTTCTCAACGTTTATCATGTTAAGTTTTCTTGTTGTTTTCTGAAAGTTTAGAATTGGATTGATGATTAACTTGTGTGTTGAATACTTAAATTCATAACGTAATAACAAATTCCTTCATTTGCCTGGTCATGTTATTAAATTGTTATTCGTATGTATTATAGTAATACACTTTTTTACATGCATTATTTATCAACTTGTTACCCGATTTAATCAATATTTTTCACAAAAATGTTGTCTACGTTGTTAAAAACCGGAGAAGAAAAAAAGTGATATCAGTGTCGGCTAAAAAGACACCTTATTTTATTATTTAGACACCCTATATAGTTTTTAAGATATTTTTATTTGTTGAAATTGTATTGTTTTTTGAAAAATATGATTATAAGTAGTTACCTATATTACTTGACTTTTGATAAAAATATGGTGTCTGAAAGGTGTTTTAATAGCAGCATCCATAATCAAATATGAAATATCTTAATTATCATGACTCCTAGCCTGTATTTTGATTAGGAGATATTTGATAAAACTAGTTTTAAAATATATAAAATTACATATGTAAAAAAGTAAAATTAAAACATAATGATCAAAAATTAATTTGAACTATAATTTTTAAAATTTAGATTTTTTATAGCTATAATCCATAATTTTATTACAACAATAAAAAATAATATGACAACATAAAAAATCTAATAGTAAACTCCCAGACTTTGAACATTCCAAGTATGGTTAAATTATGGTGATAAAATTAAGCTACTAAGACCATCTCCGATAGGGCTGTTCAGTATTTGGATAAAACTGAATTGTCCAATTGGACAATTTTGATTGGACTATTTGGTTCAGATATTTGGATTTTTGGATTGGTTTTCGACAAAACCGAATTATTATTTTGGATTTCGTATTGGTTATGGTTTATAAAATATGAACCGAATAATCCAAAAAAACCGAATAACACTTTATTATTTACTTATTTTTAATATATATCTATAACTATTTATTAGTAATTTTGTAATTTATTTTTTGAAATAGGTTCAAAAAGTTTCACCTAATAAAAAATATTAATATACGTTTTTTCTCAAAAAAAAATTATCTATAAAATATTAAAATATAATATACCTTCATAATAGTTGCTTATAAATTTCAAATCGTAACTAAATAATTTGTTTTTTTCTTATTGTGTAAAATTCGGTAATATTATAATTATATTTCGTTTTAAAATGTTTTAGTTTTTAAAAACTGAATTACAAAACCGATCCAACTGAATTGTAATTGGATCAGATCGGATCAGATTTGAATTTAGTTTGGACTATTCGGATTCATGTTTTGAAAAACGAAATCAATGTGGATTCATTTGATTGGATTGGATCAAACCGATCCATCCAAACGAACACCCCTAATCTCCAACCCACTCTCATTCCCCCCCCCCCCCCCCAAAAAAAATAGAGTAAAAAATAAGGTAAATAGTGTTTCATCTCCAACCCTACTCCATTTTTTACCACATTTTTACCTCCAAAAAGTATATTCCATTCTTCTGACTTATATAAATTGTCAAATATACCCCTTCTATTAATTTAGTTTTAACAAATATATAATTTATACTTTATCATTACAATAATATTAAATAAATAAGATTATATTTATAACACTTAATTATAAACTTTTGTAAAATACGTTATCGTGTTTTAAAATTTCAATATATATTTAAATTTTAATATGAATTTGATAAACAAAAAATAAACTTTATATTTATAATTAATTAATATAATTTAATATATGACATAATATTATAAGTATCAAATATTAAATTTAAATCATAATTAGTAGATAAAAATAAACTAAAAATGTATAAATATATAAAAGAGGGACTAAAATTGACAACTTAAAGTTCATCCCCATTTTGGGAGAAATGAATAGTATAACACCAAATAAGGGAATAAATGGTGTTATACTATTCATTTCTCCAAAAATAAGGGAATAAATGGAGTAGGGTTGGAGAGGAATGAAGGAATGAAGGAAGAAATGAGGGAAATTATGAAAAATAGGAGTGGGTAGTACTAACACAATTTTTTCTTGAAGAAGACAAATAAAAAGACACAAAATCTCTGTTTTGAAATATCGAAATGTTATATTTGATATTCAAACTTAAAAAAAAAAAGAAAAAAAATTATAAACGTTTTAAATTATTACATAAAATGAAAAATAAAGGTTACATTTTATATTTAATAAAGTTAAACTACTAAATTAATTTTTCTTGATATCTAACAAATATAAGGAGATAAAAATATGTGGAAGCATCCAAATATCAATTTTGATATTCAATTCAAAGGATATACCAATCGTAATGGCGCCAGTATATTTTTTGAGGATATTTTAGTAAATTTAATAAATTATACAAGAGTTTTTTTTGTTATACGTTAAAGTAATTTTTAGATTCATTTTTTTTAAATAAAATGTTTTACGCTCGTCCTGCCGAAAACAATTTTTTCTTTAATTCTAGATTTTTATGTCCATGTTTATCAAAATCAACCGTATAATAATACAAAAAATGACACTACGAGTCTTAAGAATAAATATGAAGAATATAACTAGATCGTGCATTGTATGTATCAGAATTAAACATCAAGCAGATAAAAGTACCAAATAGCAATTAAAAGTGGATAAGAAATGCTTTCTACAAACTTAAATTCATTACAAAATGACCAAGGTGTGAACTATGTGACTCACATCAACTACGTGGTCTCCCCCTTACACAAATTACATGAAACGCTGAAGGGAGTGGTAGCATGTTTAGCATGTTGCCACATCAGATTTTTTCATGTCATATAAGCTAGAATGAGTGCTAGCATCAAAGTTGTAAAAAGATAGGGAGTGGTGGCGTGTTAGTTTAATAGATTTTATTTTAGTAAAAAGTAAAAAACAAAACAAAAACCAACCAATCAAAACCCATCATTCTATTTTCTATCTCCTCTCTCCTCTGGCTATGCAAATAACGAGTTTTTCTTAACACCCCCCTTAGCACATGGTAGGGGATGGTGTTGCAAGTGCTAAGAATGCCTTGGCGAGAGCTCTTAGCGAGCCCAGTCCCTATAGCCTTAGGTAGTTTTTTCCGATGGTTAGTCAAAAATTGAGTAGTGTAACTTTTCATTTTTCAAAACCAACTTATCGTTTTTTCTAGGGCTGTGCATGGGTCGGTTTTGGACCCAAACCCAACCCAACCCATAAATGTTCAGTTTCTGGTTTTCAAAACCCAATAGGATCGGTTTCTGGTCGGTTCGGTTTCTTGGGTTCTAAGGTCGGTTTGGTCGGTTTTTCGGTTTCTTGGGTTCAACCCATACACTCACGGGTTCTGGGTTTAAACCCACAGGTTTTGGGTTTTAACCCATTTTCCAGAAATGAAGCAAGAAGTTAAATATTTTAAAAACACCAAATTGAAGTTAAATATTTCAAAAAACATGAGTCTTACAACCAAATAGTCTAATACAAGTTACAACCAAAGCCTGAAATAGTATATTATAACCAAAAAACAATCAAGTATGAGTCGGTTTCTCGGGTTGGATGGGTCGGTTTCTGGGTAAAAACCGAAACCGAACCCGCCTTTTCGGTTTTTAAAAAATTCAAACCCTAACCGTCGGTTTTGCTTCGGTTTCGGTTTTTTCGGTTTCGGTTTCGTCGGTTTTAGTCGGTTTCTCGGTTTGTTGGTTTGGGTTTGCTCACCCCTAGTTTTTTCAAAGTTAATATCTCATTCAAAACATTCATTCATTCGTAAGAAAGCCATACTTTGATAATCAAAAGCCGAATATCCAAATCAGATTATAAACAGAACATGCGGAAATCTCAAAACATAAAGTCGATGCGCGTATACAATTAGGCTTTGCCCTTCCCACCATTTGAAGAAGTATCTGAAAAATATTTAATACACGATTGTAATCATAAAGTCTAGTGAGTTTCCCAATATACCATATACCACAATACACTTACAATACACACAAACAAAGGCTCTCGGCTTTGGTGTTGATCCGCATACAAACAAGTCTCTCAGTGCTCGTGCCGATCCGAATGACTACGACTAATGGCTCTCGTGCACGTCTAGTCACAACTAACAGTTGTAGTGCGTGTTTAGTCATCTTAATGGTTAATGGCTCTCGTGCACATCTAACACCGAACGCGAGTAATCTAGGCTCTCAGCTCTCGTGTCGATCCACCTTTAACTCCCAAACATAGCATATCACATATCATACTTTCTAGCAATCAAAAGAATCAACATGAAAAAGACTAAGCTAGCCTAATTGCCTAATCTGCATACCATAATACATCTACATCCTAGTATACAACGGATATATACTGTAACATATAGATATTAGATAAAAGTCAAAACTTAGTCTACCGCCCAAACCCTAAAGTTTGACCCAAGGTCAAACTTAGTTAAAAAGTCAAACTTCTGGTCAAAAGGCTCTTCGCGCCCTCTTCTAGGCGCCCAACGCCCACTACGTGACAAATAAATTGGGTTTCAGACAATTCAGACATGCATCAGGAAAACTCAAAGGCGCTTTGACGCTCTCCAAAAGACGTAGGGCGTCTTTCTAGATTTAGAAAGCATTTTCGACTTAATCTATTAAGTCCAAGCCTCCAACTTTCAGATATGATTCCCAATAGCTTCTTAATGGATAAAGCTTCCAACTTTATCCATTAGGGTGGTTCAAACTAGGGATGATATTTAAAACTGGAACCAAAACCGTTAGAACTGAAATATGCAGAATCGGTCTGGGTTTAAAGAATGACTTTATCAAGGGTCCGGGTAATCCGGGTTTCGAGTCATTCGGGTTCGGGTAAACCATGTTCAAGAACCAGAACTGGTGTTAGGAACCAAAAACCGGTTTTAAGGGCCA